TTTGACAATTATTGTCATTATGCATTAATTTTACTCAAAAGTTGCTTTTTGATTAATAATAATCTTTCGAACAAAATTACTTTCTTTTTATTTTTTTATACAAACAATTTTTTTTTTGCATTTTTTTTTAAAATATCTTTTTACAATTGCAAAATATAGTTTTGAAAATTTTTCTTTTAAAGTTTTCCACAAAAATTTTTTTCGCTTATTAACTTTGTATGTAGTTCAGAAAATATTTTTTCTTAAATTTTCTTAAACTTTTTTTTTAAATTTTTCTTACAAAAATTGTTTTAATCAAATTAAAATTATTTACTTTTTTTACTTATATTTCCTACACTAATTTTTATAATAAATGTTCCAACAACTTTTTTTTAATTTTTCTTACAAAAATAGTTTTTAAATTAAAAAACAAAAATTGTTTTTAGTACTAGTTTTTTTCAAATAATTTTGTTTTTATAAATTGTGTTTACAAAATAATTATTTTTTTAAATTGTTTTTCCTTTTTTAATTTTTTTCTAATTTTTTTAATAGGTTTTTTTTTTAATTTTTTTCTAATTTTCTTACAAAATTTTGCAAATAAATTTTCTTAGCGATTATATTAATCCATTTGCTTAAAAATCGCTTAGACCCATCCACCCATAAAACCTCATTTTCTCACCCACAACTGTCTTTATGTTCTTCTACCGCCCGTCTCATCCCAATTATACCACACATACACACACACTTGCGCATTATTTTCGTATAAGTGCTTGTTGGTTCACTTGTTGCGGTTTACTTGTATCTACCTTCATCTAGTATATATGTATGTATATATAAAACAAGTATATAAACACATATACATGTATATTTACATATGTATTAATCCCGCCTAGTTCTTAGAAAACAACAAAAAAAGCAAAAACAAAAACACAAATTAATGAAAATGAAAACTGTGCGTGTTTATCTGTGTAAATTATATAATGATTGTGTTTAGTTAATATGCTGCTCTTCGATAAACTACAAATATACAAAAATTAAACAAAAAGAAAACTGCATAATTATAAATATTAATTAAAGGCATATAAGAAAATTGTTTGATTATAAAAGTATAATTAAATATTTAATTAATTGATGGAGAAAACAAGAATTATTAAGCCTAAAAATATCAATTATAATATTTAGTTGTTAGACGTAGTTAGCCTTTTAAAATACATACATACATAAATGCGTATAAAAATAATTAAATATAT